GAATTCGAGTCCCGTCTCTCAAACATCCGACTCAGATACAGAAGCGGAACAGGGAAGAAAGCAGAGGTGAGAAAATCGAAGAAAGGGTCAATCGGGTCTCCGTCGAAAGGTTCGGGGATGTATCTACCTCCGGTGAGTCTAAAGGAACCGGTTTCAGGTGGGTTGAAAGTGGAATTAGGGTTTAGTCCGTACAGCGAACGGATTAACGGGAGGATTGCTGGATTAGGGCTAATGGCTTTGATTCTTGTCGAGCTTGCGACTGGTAAGAGTGTGTTGAATTACCATACGCCTTCTGTTGTGTTGATTCAGGTTTATTTCGTTGCGGCTGTTTCTGCTATGTTTGTGAAGCTCGAGAAGGAGAAGGTTAGTGTTTGGCCTAAGGATTGAATGATAATGAGGAAAAAAAAAATGTTGGTTTTTGTTATTGAAATGTGTATGCTTTTTTGTAACTTTTGGTTGTATGTAATGTCTATATACTCACAGAATTACAAGATTTGACAATTAAAGGATCTTACTTTTGGAGTAAGTTTGTTGTTCTTCATCATAGTGATGTTTGTTTTGAGATGAGATGTGTAAAACCTCCTAAGACTAGAGAGTGTGGCTAAATCCTCTATTAACTTTGTAAGAAGATGTGATTCGTATTTGGAAGTTGTGGACTTGAAGTTGCTGGGAGGCCACATCAGTTGCAAAAAGGCCTGCAACAGTGGGTAAAATTGGTGTATATTCCAAAAGTTTACACTCTTCAGTCTCTCAATCAAGCACAAGTGCTGGTCAAACTCAGTTTTTTTTTTTGGGTATGCTATATGGCTGGAATTGATCACTGAAATATGCTACGTTTAGTTAGATACTTCTCTGTTAAAAATTAGAAGGAGTTGAGAAATTTATAAACTAGTATATATTATGTTTTATTTTTTTATAACACATCTTTTTTTATTAACCAAATTTCATGTTTTTAATTAGACGAGATTTTAAACAACATTTACAAATGACTAATTCAATAATTTTGGATTTCGATTAAGTTTTACACTATTTGTGTATTTAGAAAAACTTTCAGAGATTCTGATTTTAAACAATATAAAC